GGGGCTTGGGGGCCAGGCCAAGAGGTCCCCAGAAACCATGGAAGACTCCTGGAGAAGGCATGGACTACAGTGATAAGCCGGCTGAGATCACAGTGCCTGCAGGCTCCATCTGGAGCAACAGGCCTGGTGCAAAGGAGACCTACCTGCCCTGAAGGGGAGGAGCAGGCCTCGGTGACCTCTGGAGTAACCCACCATGACAGGCTATGCACAGGCCTTGGGCGTCAGCCTAGCTTGGGTTCAAGTCCAGTTCCACAACTAACTTGGATAACCTTGAGCAAGCTGCTCCACCTCTATGGGCCTCGGTTTCCTGTCTGTAAAAATTGGATTATTATACTCACTTCCAAGAATCATCATAGAGAGGAAATTAAACAACACCAAGTATATGAAGCTCCTAGCACACATATACCCTGTGGCTAACATGTATTGAGTGCTTACAATTAGCATTACAAAGCTGAGTCTGTGCTTCCTACAGACACACAGCTGGGAGGGACCCAAACATAGTTCAAAGTAGACTGTTGCCACAGTGCTTTCTACCCATGAGCTCACCAGAGCCTCACAGCAACCCTGTGCAGGGCAAAATTACGAGCTTGTTTGAGAGGTTCTGTGAGAATTCAAAAAGCCAGTGATTATGGAGCAGGGCTTCAATCCCAGGGTGCAAAACTGCAAAGCCCCTGTTCCTCCCACTCTCCCGCCCCTGCCTCTCACAAGGTACTAGAAGGCGGGCCCCAGGGGCGGGCAGGGAGAAGGGGCCTTGCACCCACCCCGGAGCTGTGGGCCAGGCCCCATGAAAGGCCCCATTGTCTGAACCAGGTCACTCTGAGCAGTGCGAGGGAGCTGACTAAATTCCATGCTCTGTCCCCACAAAGGTGGCCCCAGCCCCCACCACCTCCCCCTCCCCCAGACTCTCAGAGAAACCAAAAGCCAGCCTCCTGGCGCTTTCCCCACCAGCAAGGCAGGAGTATGTGTCAACATTCCAAATCTCCTCTTTCGGCCTATTCTCTACCTTCGTCCCAAAAAAGGCTCTGAGGCAGCCTACACACACACCCGGGACACACACAGGATGCACGTGCACTAGGAACCAAAATGCAAACAAACAAAGTTAAGGAACCAAATAAGAGAGGAGAGGATTGTTATGAATCCAGACGCTGCCAAAGAGAGCTACATTGGCCTTGAGGTTCCCAGCAGACAAGGCAAAAAAGGGTAGTAGTGGTGGGCAGCAAACTTATGGGTAAAAGAGGGAGCATATGTCCTCAAAGCTAGCCCCAGGGGTAGGAGGAAGGATATCAGGAGGCTGTTTCACAGGCTTCTGATTGTCATATAATATCAGATCATATCTTCATTCTATTTTTCAAAAAAAATAGATTTTTCAAAAAAATAATGGGAAAATCTTAATTTTCCTTTAGCTACTGAGTGTGTTCACACTTGGCATTCTTCAAGATTTGGGAGTTGGAAAGGTAGAGAATTGAACCAACATTTTTATGAAGCTCCTCCTATATGTATTCACTTGGTGAACAGTTATTGAATACCTACTAAGTCTCAGGTCCTATGCTAGCAGTTCTCATATGTATTACCCCAGCAATTCTTGTTTTTTTTTGTTTTGTTTTGTTTTGTTTTTTTCAAGATCATAAATTAAATATTTTATTTTTACAAGTAAAAATAAAAATTAAAAAACTAAACACTCCCCTTTGGGCTTCCAAATGGTAGGTGCTTCTTTCACTAGTACTACAATACGCTTGTTGTTCATTCTCCTTTCTACCACACTGATTTTGCATCCAAGGAAAGGAGGCCTGGATAGAGGTCATAATAAAAAATAAATAAATAAAATTTAAAAAAAAAAAAATTTTCTCCTCCTAAATCCGAATTCCTGGTGAGAATCTGAAAATCTTCACTAAGAGGTTATTCAGGTCATGGACTGTCATCTGCCTGTGAATCTGGATTTAGAAAGATGATATCATTTCCCGAGAATCTGTGGCAGACAGGAGTTAACCTAAAAGGCTTGAGGTTTATCCATCGTGCTGACGTGGTCAGTCAAGTAGTGTGATGGCTTTTCAGGCGGTGGGGCCTGCACTGCCATGGGTATCTCCGTTTGTCCAGAAGATGCAGGTCCTTTCACAAGATTCCCATCAGCAATAAGAGACTGGAGACACTCATTCCAACATTGCATGGAGACAGCTGTGTCTTGCTGACCCAGACCCTGCCATTGCTGTTTAGGGTCACCAGGCTAAGGCTAAGCCAGATTCTTAAGGCCAGTGTGTTTGTTCCAGCACTGCCAGGCCAGTGTGTTTGTTCCCCTTGTCACCTTGGCATCTTCCTTGGTATGGGGGTCAGAAGGGAGTCTGCATATGTGACAGCCCCACTCATAGAACTGCTACTATTGACACAGGACTTCTAAGTCTCAAAGGAAGGAGAGAGCTCTCCCTGCACAGCCTGGGTAGGCTGAAGCATCATGACCCCTGGTGCCTGGCTCATGCAGCCCTGAGAGGGATCCCAAGGAACCAAGAACATGTAGAATGGGAGAAAAACCAGTACACAGGGCTGTTTGCTACTGAAAAACTTGGAAAGAGGAACAGAACCAGAGCTGCATGGGGCAGTACACAGGAGGCTTTGCTCCAGCCTCACAGTCACGTGAGGTCTCTGGCCTGGGCCTGCTGCCAGGAAATTCACGGGACCCTTGCACATTACTGCTAGGAATGTAAAATGGTTGAGGTGCCATGAAAAACAGTTTAGCAATTCTTCAAAAAGTTAAACATAGAAATGCCACATGACCCAGCAATTCCACTGCTAGTTATATACCCAAAAGAACTAAAACAAGTACAAATACATGCACACACATGTTCATAGCAGCACTATTCACAGCAAGCAAAAGGTAGAAACAGCCCAAATATCCATTAATAAATGAATATATGAGCAAATTGTGATATTTGTGTATATCTATATATGTATCTTTATTTAATGAATGGTTATTCAGACATAAAAATAAATGAAGTACTGATATATGATAAAACATAGATGAATTTCAAAAAGATAGACTAAGTGAAACATACCAGACACAAAAAGTCATATATTGTGTGTATCCATATTATTGGATAAATCCACAGAAACAAAAAGTTGACTGGTGGTGGCCAGGGGCTGGGGGCAGAGGGAAATGGGGAAAAACTACCTAATGAGTAAAGGATTACAGGGCTTCAGTGTGATGGAAATTTTCAGAGCTAGACAGAGGTGGTGGTTGTACAACACCGTGAATGTGCTGAATACCACGGAACTGGCCACTTTAAAATGGTTACGTTTACATTATGTGAATTTTACTTCAATTCATTAATTTTTTTAATTATTGAGAGAAAACATTTTTGGCACATATCAAGTCAGTCTGGTAATTTAAATTAAATAAGATGTTAAATGCCAGCTATATTTTAAGGGCAAAATACAGTGAAAGCAGAAAGCAGAGTGTATAGCCTGGTCTCTGACACATGGTAAGTGATTGTAAAAAGGTGAGTTTTATTATTAGATGTCTAGGCTTAGTTTCCTCATCTGTCAATTGGGGCATTTAACCAGAGAGTCTCTAAGATTCTTTCCAATTCTGAAAGGGTTTGGCTTACAGGAAGAACTCCTTAACAAGGTCTCTGAGGCCCTTCATGGACCACCCCCGCACACACCTCCAGTCTCGCTCACACTGAAGCCATCCTCACAAAATTAATCAAGCTGAATTGCTAAGTTTTTAACAAAAGCATAAGCTGTAAATAAAAGCATAGCTAAGCATTAACCAGTTTGCCCTATAGCCCACTTTCTTATAGCTGCTTATTGCTTAAAAGTCACATAGCCCCTGCCACAAGGTCCTAACTTTTACAGATAACATCTTTAACATTAAAAAAACTTCAAGGTTTCTATTTTGAGATATTTACAAAATCCTGCCTTGCTTTTTTTTTTTTTTTTTTTTTTTTAAGGTCTTGCTCTGTCACCTAGGCTGGAGTGCAGTGGTGTGACCTCAGTTCACTGCAGCCTCCACCTCTCAGGCTCAGGTGATCCTCCCACCTCAGCCTCCAGAGTTGCTGGGACCACAGGCATGTGCTACCATGCCCAGCTAATTTTTTGTTGCCCAGGCTGGTCTGGAGCTCCTGAGCTCAAGCCATCTGCCCACCTCAGCCTCCCAAAGTGCTGGGATTATAGGAGTAAGCCACTGCACCCAGCCCCAAATCCTGCATTTCAATGGGTCCACTGACACCCGCCAGTCTAAAGACTCCGTTCAAAGAAGCAACTCAACACAAGAATGTAGTTTCTTCCTCTCCCTGTCTCATGACTCCACCCCTCACTCCTCGGCCAATAAGCAACCCCCAGCTCCTCCAAATTCCTTTAAATACCCCAGTCCGAGAAACTCCCCAGGGAGGTGGATTTGAGGTTCTCTCCCACCTCCTTGTTTGGCTGCCTTTTGATTATGAAACTTTCTCTGCTACAGTTCCTGCTGTTTTGGTGCATTGTTCCATTACTGCACACACAACGGACATGAACCTCATGGTCCTATATAGCACCACGGTGTGACCCAGCTATACTGGCTTTCTTTCAGGTCCTCATGTGCAGCTTGCCATCTCCCAGCACTGGGCCTTTGCCTGTGCCACTCCCTCTGCCTGGAACACTTGTCCTGCTCTGCCATCTCTGTAATGCTCCTTATCCCTCAGCACCCCGGGCACCTGTGTACCTGGTTTCTGCAGTGCTCTCCATTGTGACAAGGTTCAGTTAATTGTGGGAGAATTTGACACCAGACCAGAAGATCTACAATGCAGAAACCCTCTCTTTCTACTTCTGGTATCTCCAGGGCCCAGAGGGGACAGAACCTGGCTCGCTGTGGACCAAATGTATGAGATTTTTTTCAGTGCGTTCCCAGTTCTCACTAGTGTCACCTCCCACTGGCAGGCAGAATATGGACCTTGAGGTCAGACAAGGTTATCCACTAGATGCCCTGCTCCCATCCCTGCCCCCTCACCCCATTCTAGAACTGTGAGTCCAAATGTCACCTGCCTCCCTCCACCCCCAAGGGTAAAAATAACCTTGTCTGAAACCTGACACCTACCCTCTGCAGGTCATCTTGAGAACTACCCCTGTCCCAGAGGTGACCACCAGGGGCCTGGGGGAGTAGGGAGGGCATTTCCTGAATGCTTTCCCATTCACATCTCATTTGACCCACGAGCAAATATGTGAGGTGCTATCACTGGTGAGGAACACAGGGAACCCGCGCTCAGAGACATCTCGAGTCCTGCCTAAGGTCCCCAGCCAGAGCTTGAGCGCAGCCCTTTCCTCGGCACTACGAGGTGAGTAGGGCTTTGAAGACTGATTACACCTGCTTGGTTGTATGGGTAGAGAAACTGAGGCCCAGGGAGCTCTCTGTCTAAGGTCTTAAGTGAAAGGGCTAAATTAGGCATACTTTGGGCAAGTTATTGAGAAGCTGTTTCCTCCTTGGTTAAAGAAGGACAAGCACTCCCACCCAGCTCCATGCAAGAGCTGCATGCGGATGAAAGGAGAGAACCTAAAGGCACCTGGCTAACTGTGCAGTTCTGTGCACACGTGAGGGAGCAGTGTCAAGGAGGCTGGAGAGGACACAGCAGCTGGGCTGGATGGGGACTTGTCTTTCCTAAACAACCAGACTCTGGCAGCGTTTGTTCTCACTTTGGGAAACGGAAATGTGGGAAGAGGGGTTGCGGGGGGACGGTGGGTTCTTGAGACAGGTAGACTTCGTTTGAATCCCAGCCCCACCCTCAGTACGGGGAGGTGGGTAGGGATGGTGGGGAGGTCTCTGGGCAACTTGCTTCCCCTCTCTGTATTCATTCATTCAGCAAGTGAGCACCCCCCACAGACCAGTTTCCTCATCTGTAAAATGGGAATCCCAAGTGCTTTGCAGACCGTCGTGAGGGGCAGAGGAGGGAACATGAACAGCTTTGTAAGTTGCCATGGTCCTGCCTTCTTTTTATGCCAGCAGGTATTGTCAGGCCTGCAGGGAGCGGGGAGTGTGGGCAAGCCCGAGCCCCGCCCTCACAGAGCCAAGGTCCAGATGGGGAGACAGCCACTGAACAAGAAGTTCCCTAGGAGATCTGCTGTGCCAAGGGTCAGCAGGGCTGCAGAGTGTGAGCAGAGTCTGACCCTGTGTGCAGATGGACAGGAACCTGCAGGACACGGGTCAGGCTGGGTGGCCCTGCGTTCAGCTCCTCCATATTGTTCGGGCGCTGCCCTGCAGCATGCCCAGAACTAACAACCTAACAGGAGCAAGTGTGTCAACCTCTCCGGACTCAGCTTCCTCAGTTTATAAAACTGAAAGTTGTGGGTGTGCAGGTAAGATTGAGAACAATCATTCTCCCTTGTATATTTAATTAATATAGCCAAGCACTGTACTGAACCTTTTTTTTTTTTTTTTGAGATGGAGTTTCTTGTTGCGCAGGCTGGAGTGCAATGGCACAATCTCGGCTCACCACAACCTCCGCCTCCTGGGTTCAAGTGATTCTTCTGCCGCAGCCTCCTGAGTAGCTGGGATTACAGGCATGCGCCAGCACGCCCGGCTAATTTTTTTGTATTTAGTAGAGACGGGTTTTCACCATGTTCATCAGGCTGGTCTCAAACTCCTGACCTCAGATAATCCACCTGCCTCAGCCTCCCAAAGTGCTGGGATTACACGTGTGAGCCACCACGCCCAGCCACTGTTTTTTTTTTTTTCTTTTTTTTTTTTTTGGAGACAGTTTCCCTCTGTCACCCAGGCTGGAATGCAGTGGCTCCATCTTGGCTCACTGCAACCTCCACCTCCAGGGTTCAAGCTATTCTCCTGCCTTAGCCTCCCAAGTAGCTGGGATTACAGGTGTGTGCCACCATGCCCGGATACTGTTTGTATTTTTAGTAGAGATGGGGTTTCACCATGTTGGCCAGGGTGAGCTCGAACTCCTAGCCTCAAGTGATCCTCCTGCCTTGGCCTCCCAAAGTGCTGGGATTACAGGCGTGAGCCACTGTGCCTACCCTGTATTGAATATTTTTATGCATTATTATCTCTTTTAATCATCACACAGCCTTAATACCTGAATGTTGTTATTATTCCCATTTTACAGATGGGGAAACAAAGTCTCAGAAAAGTTAACTTGCACATATATACACACAAAATCACACAGCCAGGAAAGGGCAGAGCTGGGACATCAACCCAAGTCTGCTTACCGCAAAAGCTAAGACTGCTTGACCACTTTGTACAACTGTCTCTCTCTCATTTGGCAGGCAGTTTGACAGTTGCTGCTGCATCCCGGGCATCTGTGACAGCCATCAGCCCTTCCTTACCCAGACATGTCAGGCCAGGACCCATACCTGGAGCCAGGACTTCCAAGAAGCTCCCCACCCCGTGTACCCTCATGTCCTCTGCAGGGGGCCGTGATGGTGCCAGCACCCTTTTCCAGCATGGTCCAGGGTCAAGGCACTTTCCAGAACACTGTCCCACTGGGCCACTGTCCGTGAGGAAATTGCAAACTCTCAAGGAGCTGAAAACTGTGCTTTATAAATCCTCAGCTCTCAGAGTGGGAGGAAACCTCACATTCAGCTAGATGGGCCCCTCTCAGGTGCAGGAATCTCAGCCGCCACACTACCTCTGGTGGCTGTCCAGCATTAGCTTGTTTGCTCCCAGAAGCAGAGGGCTCACTCCCTTTCAAGGGAGACCCTTCTGCTGAAGAGCAAATCTGCCTGTTCTTCCCTCTGTCCCACTCACTAGCTGCCTCCCTGTGGCTTCCTCCCTTGGGGTTATTTGCCACCTCCCACCCCCTACCTCCAGCAGACCCCAGAAAGTGACCAGAAGCGATTAGAGCACAGGCAGTCTGATCCCAAGTATGAATGACCCCCCATTCCCATGTGACCCCCATCAGGGGAGCTGCTTTGACAGCACCTAGTACAGAACCCATGTTCACAGGCAGTCACCCCCATGCCACAGGCCCTGACAGTGGGGTGAGCCATTCTGGGGTTGTGAAGAACAGATCCTGCCTCTCCCCTCCTCAGACCCCTTTCCTGCCCTCACTGCCAGACAGCCAAGGCTGCTGCCTGTGCTGCCTCTGGGTCACCATGGCAACAGGTGGCCAGGCAATGGGCCTGGGCCCCACCATCTTGCAAGCAACTCCATTTACCCTGGAGCTGGGCACAGCAGCTACAGGCATCACAGTTCCCCTTCAAGAGAGCAAGAGAGAGAGAATGAGAGAGCAGAGGGAAGGGAGAAGAAACCAGAGTCAGAGAGAGAGAAAGGAAAAGTGGCAAAGAGAGGAGGGAAGGAACAATGCAGAGGTCAGAGTGAGAGAAAAATAGAGGCTGGCAGAGAACAAAGCTGGTAAAAGAGAGGTGAGCAGGAAGGGAGGAGAGGCTGCAGACCTCTCCCACTGTGCACATTCCTCCTGCCTAAGCTGCACTTCCCTGGCCAAATTCTGGCTGCAGCCAGGACTTCCTGACCCAGGAAACCAGCAGCCCAGTGGGCCCCTTCAAGGCCCCAGCGGCTGTTCCAGGGTCCTGCGGGCCCCTCCTGCTGGGGGATGATGTCCTCTTGCTCCCCAGAAAGTGCGGCCCCCTCTCCCAGCCCCTCCAGCAGCACCTCCCCACTCAGCACCCCCCTCACTCCCCCTGGTTCCCAGGGCCCTCCTGCCTACCCAGGCCTGCCATCCTCTGGCTCTCTTCCTTCCCACCTTACCCAGCTTCCCCTTGCACAACACAACAACATTTTCATTTTCCCAGGAGTGTTCAAGAAAACATTCCTGAGCAGAGCAGAGTGGTGGGAGAGGAGCTGTGATTTTCCTCACTGAATGCATGCCCTTACACTGCAGATGTTGCAGAGCAGGTCTCAGAACAAGGTTTAGCAGAGAAACACTGACCAGTGGGGCTGCTTCTAAGCCCCAAGCTGCCAAATCTGGGTATTAGGAGGTCCAGAGCTGCGCACAGCCTAGTCTCTGGCAGAGGCAGCTGAGCTCAGCAGGTGTGCCAGCAACTCTCTACGGGGCACCATCCACACTCCAGATGCCGCCTTCAGCCTCAAGCTCTCTGGCTGCAAAGTAGCCCTATCAGACCTGTCCCAATTACACTCCCATCCCCATATTTTCCTACACTGTCTCAGAGGAATTTGAGCCTACAAGAAGGTTTATTGAAACAATCAGAAGGGTGAAGAGAAAGAGAGAAGAAAGAAAAAAACAGGATGGCATGGGGGCTGGCAAAGAGGGCAGCAAGGCCCAAGGGCTTCAGACTGTCTGGCCAGATAACCCTAAGCCATTTTACTTGAGCCACTATGAACCTCAATGTCCACATTTGTAAAATGGGAATAAGAATATCATAGTTATCCAGCCTGAGTAACAGAGTAAGACCCTGTCTCTTAAAAAAATAAATAAATAAAGAGAGAGAGAGAGAATATCATAGTTGAGATTCAATGAGGTTATACATGTAGAGTGCTTAGAACAGGATCTGACTCATAGGAAATGCCCAAAACTACAACCCTTCATGTTGTTAAAAAGCCAAGGCAGGCCTGTAACCCAAGCACTTTGGGAGGCCGAGGCAGGCAGATAACTTGAGGCCAGGAGTTTGAGACCAGCCTGGCCAACATGGTGAAACCCTGTCACTACTAAAAATACAAAAAAATTAGCTAGGTGTAGTGGCAGGTGCCTGTAATCCCAGCTACTCGGTAGGCTGAGGCAGGAGAGTCGCTTGAACCTGGGAAGTAGAGGTTGCAGTGAGCCAAGATTGTGCCACTGTACTCCAACATGGGCAACAGGGCGAGACTGTCTCAAAAAATAAAAATAAAAAAGACCGGGCATGGTGGCTCACACCTGTACTCCCAGCCAGCACTTTGGGAGGCTGAGGCAGGAGAATCACTTGAACCCAGGGGGTGGAGGTTGTAGTGATCTGAGATCACTCCACTGCAGTCCAGCCTGGGTAACGGAGCGAGACTCTGTCTCAAAAAATAAAAAGGGCAAGGTGTTGTAGAAAGACCCAGGAAACCATTCCAGTGAGGAATGGCCTAAACAGATCCCAAGGGTAAGTGCTGTGACTGGCCAGATGGCCTTTGCAGAGCAGTAAGGGTCAGATGGAGCCTTTCAGCCCTGGGCTATGACAATGGCATCTGCTTTCCCTCCTGGCACTGCAGGTGAACACATCCTCTCTACCAAGACAGAATTCATTGGTTCGCGGTTCATTTCAACCGACAATCAAGATGTTGAATAGGACAGAGTCTGTGGCACTCCACGAAGACTCCCACAGACGCCCACATACAGTCTAACCAGACTCCACGCCTGCTGGGAAGCCTTTGCATTTCGCAGGCCCCTGAGAGGCTCAAGACACCTCATGAGGGAAATGGATTCTTGGGATAGAAGGCAACGATCACTAGAAAGCAGCTCGGGTTCACTGAGAACAAGGCACGCTGGGCACACAGGAGCAGACCATTGGGTTAGGAATGGACATAATTTGCATTTGCATAGACCCAGAACATTATAAGTGCTCAGTAAAAATGTGTTCAATGGAACCTGGGAGCTGTCTCCAACTATGTACCACATGTACCTGCTCCATTCAACATGTGATCAAATGGCTTACCTGAACACACACCTGATCCTAGATGACCACTTGAAAGGTTGTAAAATATAAACTTAAAACCAAGCAGATGAAAATGAAAAAGACTCATTCTATCAACCTGCATTTAGGCTTTTCTGTTGCTATCACTTTTTAAGTTGTACGCATGCTGGGGTGGCTCCAGTTTAATAGTTGTTTACGGGAAAACAGCCTTATTATTTCATCTGTCCACACACTTAACAATGACAATTCCTGCTGTAACCAAACGGGCACCCTGTAGCTGCTGAAGGCTTCACCCTGTGGTGAGGGGTTGGGAGGTGAAGGGGGTGCATTTAGGGAAGGCATGACTCAGTCGCAGGGAGGAGACAGCCCAAGACTGGCATTCGGCAGGCAGCATGAGGCCCAGTGTTGTGAAGGGGAAAACAGAGGGAACAAGGAGTGGCTTAGGATGACAACCAGGCTGTCAGAGGGACAGTGAGGGGGCCAGGCTGCGTGTGGCCTGGGTGTCAGTTCTCTGGCTGCAAATCTGAAGGCTGGCTGGATTAGAGGACAGAAAGAGGCCTAGTAAAGTGTAAAACCAAGACCTCAAAGGGGTGGACAAGGTTTGGAAGGGGCCGATTCTAGCTGGGAATCAACAAAGATCTTTTTAAAAACTCCCACTGCCAGACATAGTGGCTCATGCCTGTAATCCCAGCACTTTCAGAGGCCGAGGTGGATGGATCACCTGAGGTCAGGAGTTGGGGACCATTCTGACCAATATAAAGAAACCCCATCTCTACTAATGATACAAAATCAGCCAGGCATGATGGCGCGCACCTGTAGTCCCAGCTACTTGGGAGGCTGAGGCAAGAGAATTGCTTGAACCTGGGAGGTAGAAGTTGCAGTGAGCCGAGGTCATGCCATTGCACTCCAGCCTGGGCAACAGGAGCAAAACTCTGTCTCAAAAAAAAAAAGAAAAGGTGCTGGGAACACCTTAAACAGACATAGTGTCTTCTCACATGAACAGACAATAAACAAAAGAGGAACAAGAAGAGTGAAAAGTGCTATGAGAAAGAAAAAATGGGATGTGGCAGAGAGAAGGTGGTGGACAGGGAGGAGCTTCTTTAGGCTGTGTAATCAAGGAGGCTTCCTGGCTAGGATCCGAAGGAATGATGAGAAGGAGCAATTTCACAAGACTGTGTGCAGGGTTGCGGGCAAGAGAACAGAGAGTGCAAAAACCCCAAGGAAGCGCAGGGACCCGCTGTCAGAGGAAGAACGAGGAGGTGTTGGGAAAGAAGCACCTAAGAAATGCAGAGAGCAGACAGGGCCTGTATCCCTTAAGGTCTTGTAGGTCCCAATGGAGCTTAGATTTTATTCCAAGTGTGAGGGGAAGAACTGGAGGCTGGAGGGGAGGGTGATGGTCTGGCCTGCATTGTAAGATCACTCTGCTGTTGTGTGGAGGTGAACTTTAAGATGGAGAAAAGCAGCAGGCAGACTCCTCAGCAGGCCACTGCAGTCAGGGGAGAGGGCTGGCTGGGCAAAGAGGTGGAGCCAGGATGTATTTGGGAGGTAGAGGCAACAGGACTTGCTGAAGGACTCCACGTGTGTGAGAAGGGACAGGGTGGTGCCGGTTGGAGTGAGTGGTTGAGGGAAGCAGCAGCTACAGCTGCGGGCAGTGTAGAGGGAGGGATTGCAAGGGGCTAGGGGACTTGGTGGTGGAGATGATGGGAGGCAGTAGGCAGGACAAAAATTAGGAAAAAAAGGCCAGGCACAGTGGCTCACGCCTGTAATCCCAGCACTTTGGGAGGCTGAGGCGGGCGGATCACCTGATGTTCGGAGTCCAAGACCAGCCTGGCCAACATGCTGAAACCCCATCTCTAATAAAAACACAAAAATTAGCTGGGTGTGGTGGTGGGTGCCTGTAATCCCAGCTACTCCAGAGGCTGAGGTAGGAGAATCACTTGAACCTGGGAGGCAGAGGTTGCAGTGAGCCTAGATCGCACCATTGCACTCCAGCCTGGGAGACAGAGTGAGACTCCATCACAAAAAATAAATAAATAAATAGGAAAAAAGTAAAAATAAATAAATAAGAAAAGAGGATCCAAGCTTAGAATGAGTGACTGGCAGATGGTGGTACTGGTTACTGAGTTGGGGGAGATCAGTATAGAAATAAGTAGGGGACAAGAATTTGTGAGATCCTACTGAACATTTAAAGAGAGAAATCAAGGAACTCAGGCCTGGAGCTCACTGGAGAAAAGGCTACACCTGGAGACACTAACATATATGGGTATTTAAGATCCACAGGATTGGGGCCGGGAGTGGCGGCTCACGCCTATAATCCCAGCACTTTGGGAGGCCAAGGTGGGCGGATCATGAGGTCAGGAGATCGAGACCATCCTGGCTAACACGGTGAAACCCCGTCTCTACCAAAAATACAAAAAATTAGCCGGGCATGGTGGTGGGTGCCTGTAGTCCCAGCTACTCGAGAGGCTGAGGCAGGAGAATGGTGTGAACCCAGGAGGCAGAGGTTGCAGTGAGCCGAGATCGCACCACTGCACTCCAGCCTGGGCGACAGAGAGAGACTCTGTCTCAAAAAAAAAAAAAAAAAAAAAAAAAAGATCCACAGGATTTTGAGACCTTATAGTAAATGAAAGAAGGTTGCCAATTTTTGCTACACCTCCCATTGAAAGGTAGAGTCTAACTTCCTCCTCTTGAATCTGAGTCATTTTTAGTGACATTTCAACAGTGACTCTGAGACTAGATCATGACACACCTTGCAGCTTCCCCCCAGGCCTCTTAGAACTCTTGCTCTGGTGGAGCCAGCTGCCAGGTAGAAAATCTAACTATCCCAAGACTATCATATTGAAGAGGCCACACGTTCGTGCTCCAAATGACAGTCCCAGCTAAGCCCAACCTTTCAGCCCTCCCCTCTGAGGTGCCAGTGAAGGTATCATGGAGTCCCCAGTTCAGCCCATCCACCACCAAGTGCCACCAAGCAGCCTCCATCAATGCCACATAGAGCAGAAGAACCAGCCAGCCCAGCCCTGCCAGAATTCCTGACCCACAGAATCACAAGATGTAATAAAACAGTTGTTGCTTTAAGCTACTAAGGTTCAGGGTAGTTTGTTACACAGCCACTGTAACTAGAACAGATATCATCCAAGAAGATGGGTTGACAGAGACATTCACACTTAGCCTTTTTTTTTTTTTTTTTTTTGATAATCTTGCTCTGCCGCCCAGGCTGGAATGCAATGGCACAATCTCAGCTCACTGCAATCTCCACCTCCCAGGTTCAAGCGATTCTCGTGCCTCAGCCACCCAAGCAGCTGGGATTATAGGCATGCGCCAATATGCCCAGCTAATTTTTGAATTTTTAGTAGAGATGGGGTATCACCATGTTGGTCAGGCTGGTCTCAAACTCCTGAACTGAAGTGATCTGCCCGCCTCGGCCTCCCAAAGTGCTGGGATTACAGGTGTGAGCCACCATGCCTGCCCTTACACTCGGCTATTTAGAAGTCAGGTGGGGAGGAGGAACCTGCAAAGGAGACTGCGAGGAAGCAGTCAGTGAGGTGGGAGGACCCCAGAAGAGTCTGGCTCTCCAGAGGGAAGGGGGCCCTGCTGAGGCATGAGCTCTGAGTCAAGGCAGATAGGGAAACAAGCTATCACTGATTTTTGACAGGAAGGAAGGAGGGAGGGGGAAGAGAGGAGTCCAGTTAAAGCGAATTAGGGAAAGAATGAGAGGTAATACAGTGGGAACAGAGAAAACTCTTTCCAAAATGTGTGTGGGAACAGGGAGCAAAGAAACAAGGTAGCAGCTGGAAGGGGCTTTGTTTGCCTAGAGGCTGCAAGATACTAGAGCTGGTTGGTTCATCTGGTCCTGGGACAGATACAGTAGGAGGGATTCTACTGAGACAGAGAGCTTTCTACAGGACAGGGGCTGTCTAAGAATTGCCTTCGCAGAAGCTCAAAGATCCCTTTTCAGAAATCTATGACTACTATTTATCATGTACCTACTGTATGCCAGGTCTCGTTCTTGGGGGCCTTTAATTCTCACTCTGAAGCAGGAATCCTCATTCCTTATTTTACAGATAAGAGAAAGGAAATGGACAGGGAACAAGGAATGGGCCACCCACGCACTCCTGGCCAGTAAAAGGCAAAGGGGAGACTGGACCTGGATCCTTCTGACTCCAGAGCCTGGCAGGAGTGCGGCAGAAGGGACATCAGCTGGAGGGAGATCAGGTCACCCAACAACTGGAACTTCTGATACACAGCCTGGGACTTTGGACACCTTGTATCAGTTGCCTCCCCGCACTCCTACCTTCTACACGACATGAGCCTATAGGAAAAGAGCTCACTGCAGAAGTGGTTTCTGACCTGTGGATCCCACCCAGGCAGTGGGATCTGCCAGGTAAAGAGTATCACTGCCACTACTCCCCATCCAGAAGGCCTGCCTTCCTGTTTGCCCAGCTGAGAACCAGTCTGCACAGACACACCTTCTCCTCACTTTGCTGCCTGGAAGCTCTAATTCAGTCTTCAAAAGCAAAGGGAGGGTGGGGACCAAGTAAACTCAAAGGCCAAGGAGGGCCTGGGGTGGTATAGAGGAAGACGGTGCTGAGATGCAAGGCTGTGCTTTTCCCCTTGGACTCTCTTCAGAGGGGGCCCCTCCCTTGGCCCCAAAGTCATTTAATGCTTGGGTCCCTTCCTCTCCCATGTTCGCCCTGCTCTCAAAGCCTATAGGCACATGTACATCTGATCTCTTAACACCCCGTCTCTGTAAATACCTGCCGTGGCACTAAGCTACCCGGCACGAAGCAGGCTCCAGTTGGAGGGACCATTATCACCCCCACATCTCTATGTTATGAATGAGGAAGCTGAGGCTTGGGAAGACAGCCGGTCAAGAACCAGCCAGAGTCTTCGGGCTTCAGACCTCCCACTCATCCCTCCCACCACTCAAGGGGCTGTATCCCTGGAGAAGAAAAAGATGAATTGGGTTTCTCCATACCCTCCCTAAGAGATCAAAAGAAAACTCAAACCCACCTGCTTCAGCTCAGCCCAGATGTGGTGCTGGAAACCAGAGGCTGCTTAAAGGAAGTCCCAAGGCCACTCCCCTTCCGACCTCTCACCGAGTCCAGGCCTGGAACAGGGCCACACCTGGGCAGGGCTACACCCCAGGGCAGATCACAGCCTATTCTAGAGGTCGTAAATAAGACAATGCCAAGGAGTGGAGAGACCTGAGATTCCCCACCCGCAGCAAGCAACTTGAATGTGATCCTCCCTAGGCCACAGCCCAGGTGCTGTTAGCCAAGTGCCGACCTAC